TATATATATTTTTATATATATATATATATTTTCTTTTCCAGTTCTTGAAGTGGTTACAACTACTTTAGTCTACAAGGCATCCTAAGGGCACTTCCTGGCTCTAGCAACAAAGTCCGTCATCTTGTGGAGAGAAGTAAAGGGAATATCATTGAGGGAGAAGAACAGAACAGTTTCCTATCTTGTATAATATCATGTAGCAGGTCGACACCTCTGAAAGCTATCATTGTTGTTTCTGAGCCCAGATATTTTCTCCCTATGTTCCAGGAGGTCAAATGTTCACCTTGTTCAATTGCTGTGTACAGAGGTACCACTATGCGATTTTCCTTTTTTGGTGGATAAGTAGTTGCTTCTGAATAGTTTGGACTGTATGCTATCCTATGCATCACTTTTTGTTGGTTTGATTAAAGGGAGATTAAAAGAGTTTTGCTTTTTTCTTCATGTCGTTGCGTCTCCAGAGAGGTAACTTGTCAAACTCCTGTATCGTCATGCCAAATACGTCTTGAAAAACTTCAGGTGCTAAGTGACGCTTTAAAAAAAAATAAAAACAAAAAAAGGAGGAAAAAAAAAAAAGCAGAAAAGGCAATGGTCAGTGAAAGCCAAAGAGACACAATAAGAGACAGGAGTGCCTTAAGGATTTAATGTCATGTGTAAGAGCCATTGCAAATTGCAGGAAATAATAACGCTTTGGCAATACACATATCCAAGTCCTCACGAACTCAGGTGCTCAATGAATCAATAAAATTTTGCAATATGTTAAGTCAGAAATTTACAAAGGAAGTCAGGAGAACTATTTCAGTTGCTGAATAAGAAAAAGACAGAAAAATAATTTGTCTGAAGTCACCCAACAAGCAGTGATACACCACAGAACAAAACTAGCTCCTGTATGCCCCTGTCCCAGGCTTTAGCTAGCCAGCTCTGCTTACATATGGAAGTTCAGACAGACACTGGGTTTCAGGAGAGCCTGGTAGAAGGGCTGCACGTTGACATGCTATATTTGAAATTCTGACTAACTGTCCAACACATTTCTCTACTGCCACTGAAACATTTCTTGGTGCTGTCTCCTGCACAAGTTACTTCTTGTTCAGCTGCTTTAAAAGTGCCATGGATAAAGAAAGTGTTTCCCTGTGGCACTAATGTAACACAACGCTGAATTCTGATTAGTGATCAGATCTAGTGTAAAAATGTAGATAAATGGTTACTTACCCAATTTTTTGTGGCCCATTACATGCATCTCCACAGAAAATTAACTAACTACAAATGACTTAAACATCTCCAGCCTTCCACTGAGCTGCTTAAGACTTTCTAATCCACAAAGCTGTAAACAATTTTCATTTGCTGGCAGATTTAAATCCTCATATTTTGGAGATCAGCCAGTTTAACTAACTCACAGGACTCATGGATGAGTTAAAGTTAGTTAGACTTTTGATCCTCAAGGATAGCTGACACTGGATCTGAGCTAAGAAATGATCCAAGATAAAACAAAATATTTCTCCATTGCAGTATGGATCCTGTGACTACAAAACACTTCACCAGTTCTGGGCTTTTTACCAATTTACAAGGATATAGTTAACTGCTTGAAAACATAAGGGGGTTGTGAGAAGTTCAGTCCAGGAACAAGGAGACAGATGTAGGACTCCTGGCCCAGCACCACTGATGGAGAAGTGGCTGCTTCCTCTGCCTGACTCCTCCCCTTCTCTGCTTGGTGCTGAGGAATCTTCGCAGTCAAACAAGGACCCACACTCCAGTGTCTGAGCTTTCAAGTGCACAACAACATTTTAAGAGCATTTAGGAACTTGCTTCTCTTACCTCAAGCCTGGTTCTGTCTACATCTTTTAGTATTTTATTTCGCCCTCTGTTGGTCACCATGAGCATTTCATATGGAAAAATCTGTTAACAATGTATAAAAGGGGGAAAGAGAGATGTATTTACATTCTAAAGCAAAAAGAACACAATGTGTCTCATTTTCATAACCACCCAAACATTTGGTTTCTTTTTCAAAGGAAATCACAGCAGTTTGTCCCCTAAAGTTCCATGAAAGACAGGCCCTATAGCGACAAAGTAAGAACTTGTTTAGTATTGAACTGCCTCATATTGTAAGGCCACTGTCTACTTGCCAACCCCACTGATTTTTACGGTGCATATAACACAGCTGACTTTGGTCAGACAGTCCTCTCCAGTCAATATACTTTCTCAGCCAGTAACGTATAAACTTAAGAGTTTATTAAGGTAAATCTATTTGGTGCTCATTAGTCTAACTGATGGTTGCCAAAGTGTGCACAGCTCTAAGGAAACAGACACTTAGTGGATGTTTAAAAATGGACCACATGAAAATACATCAGAAAAAGCAGCAACTCTGAACAAGCAAAATATTGATTAGTGCGGGCCCCTACATTCATCAAAATTCATCACATGACTTTATTTGCCTTTTTGGATAGTTAACAAATTCAAACAACTGCCCACTGTGCTTGCTGGCTGTGCAATACATCCGTGGATTAAAGGAGATGCTTTTGTAGACATATTTGTCTTATATACCTTCATCTACTTCAGAAGAGCATGTGTCCAGCACATCTCCCTTTAACATTTCCTTTGCTTTCTCTTTACATTGCAAAGAATGTCCAGAACTTATACAAACCAGTTAATGGCCAATAATCAATTCCTGAATGCATAATTTTACTTCTGTTTTTCATGTCCTTTGTTTGAAGCAAAATGTTTTCTGTTAGTGGGTCTCAAATCAGTTTAATCCAACAGAAATAATGCCGCTTAGAAAGGATTTCAGAAAACCATGTGCCTTAAAATATGTTTCTGGAATAATCTCTGGCAAAGAAAACTGTTCTAGGATTTCTTCCTTGGGCAGACACTTCCATAAATGCCTGGGATGACTCCAGAGAGATCATGTTCCATCTGACAGAGCCTCTCTACAGCTCTTCTCAGGGCATGTCTCTACAGAGTAGGAAAACAGCACTCCCAGTGAGGTCCTCACCCAACTCCTATTGAAGTCAATGAAGTTCTTCTGCAGACTTCAGTGGCAATTAGCTCAGCTTTTACTGTTCTTTATGGGTATTGTTTTACTTGCCCACTGGGAACAAGAGTGAGACCATCAAAACTTTCCTGAAGAGACATCTGAGCTATTATCAAATGCTATTAATTCAATTATTATAACACCAGAAGAAATTCAATCTAATCAACTTTTGCGCAACACTAGGCAATTAAGTTCATTCCATTGTCAACAATTATCCCCATAAACTTTTCAGAAATATAATAAATAAGATTCAGGCATCAATGAACACACCACTGAGTTTATTGTAGGTAATAATAATTTAAATAATGTATGCTTACATACCGATTGTAAGATATGATTCCTTAGGAGATTCTGACATTGTCACAATTGTACAATTAAGTCTATACTTTGAATTACATTGTTTATGTTTGATACTGGAAACAGCTACCGTATACAGCAATATAGGAAACTAAAATGTAATGTTTCATATTTAAACAAGCAGAGTTTAACTCAGGATCTATGGTCATAAGTACATTTTATATTTAGATATTCACAACAAGGCATGTCTCAATCTGGGGTGGCAGGATGCACAAATTCTGTCCTTTCTGGAGAACCACTTGGTAAGATTTGGTCATTCTTAAGTTTACTAATTTTCACTTTTCACATGTTTTATGCTGACTTTGGGTTGGCTTCTTTTACTTTATCATGTTTAAGTTACTGTTGGACCATTGACATGAATAAAAATACTGCCAGTTCCTACAAGCTGAGGGTCTGGCATCACCTTTATAAACATCAACAGAACTTGACCTATTATGTCGTGAAAATTCCCATAAATTTTATCATTGATTATACTGACAGAATTTGTCACCCAAAGTAACATTCCAAATCACTGGGTGCATCAACAGCAGTGGTGGTGGCTGTAAGAATTTCTATTGCACTGAAAAAGAAATTATTTGGAATAAAAAGTAGTATCTCAGGAGCTGGGGATGTCTCCAAGGTCTTATTTATACAATATAGAAAACCATTTGTTAATATACATTGTATTGGGATCAGCTTATAAAGCTAGGGTTATTGCCTTGTACAGTTTGTCTGGAGGTGACTTGGAAGCACAAGTAGTAATTTGGTTTGCAAAACAAGCTCCTCACTTAACTGCAGAAATGCTGATCTTTGTAACTGGCAAAATCATGATTTCTTGGAAGGTTCACCAGCAACAGAGGAAGTTATAAGATTTAAAACACAGCTGAATTCCCCCTATATATTATGTCCATTTTTGATCTGATATCTCTAGACATAGCTGCAAAAGCATTTTAATTTATACCTTAAATTATATTCAGCTTATGTTGCCTCTTTTTCCAATGAAACTCATGAAGAATTTCTTATATAGGGAATTCAACATTATTGAAAGGTGTCAGGCTAACAGTGCTGAGAGCTAAAGAACAGATCCAGACAGACAGGTAGGTATCTAACTTACAAATTGAAACAAAGATCCATGTATTTCATTAATTTTTAAATTAAGACAGCTTCAGTGTGTGTTGTGAGCCACAATATTCTGCATCAGTTCCAACTTTACAGATCTGAGACTTTCCTATCGAGTTTGGCCTGCTATTTCGGCTAGTGGAAGCTTGACAGAGAACTAGCTATTGAGTATCTTTAGTATTTTCATTTTCTCTCTAGAAAAGTCTCCTTAACCCAAGAAGCACACCTGGGCTGCCCTCAGCCTGCCTGAGTACTAACACCTGTAACAGTCAAAGACCAGAACAAAGGGAGAGGTTTGGCACATAAGGAGCAGCAACTGAGGTGAGGTAAAGAAAAACAAGGGAACTAAGATATTTCCCAGATTTTATCTGCATTTCACAGTTAAATCTTCACTGTCTTGAAGGAAAGTGAATAACATCTGCACTTGCCTTTGGCTCCAACATGTTAGGCATAGATACTCCTCTGTCCATTCTCATTCCAGGGACATGACCATCCGGAAGGGACTGCATCAGATACAGGTATACATCAGACACAGAGGTTACACACACAGAGGGTAAAGGCACTCAAAGTAGCGGTGAAAACAAAGGTGAATTTTCCCTGAGATTTCCTTCAAGTCTTATTTAGTCTTATGCCATAGATCATTGCTATGGCTAGTGTTTATCACTTCTCTGAGGCACACAGAGGGATACTTCCATCCTCTCTGCCACCACAGCGTCCTGTCTCTGCTAAGACTGGTGGTAGCTCCTCACTGAGCCAACCAACATCGCCTCCTAGGTGGACTTGGGGACCCCAAGAGAGAGTGGTGGGCCCTTTCCCACCCCAGTGACTAAGTAGGGTTCTTCTCTAGACAAATACGCAGTAGCATTAATTCAGATCCCACCCAACAGCATACAAAGCACTCTTATAACTCTGGGCTTTTCTTTCTGTCACTTATTGTATCAGCTCAGGGATTTTTTTTTTTTTTTTTTTTTTTGTCTCCACAATGGGAAATTTTTACTATGAACACAAACAGGGGTTGGGTAAAAACATCCTGTTCTGACACAGGCACTGCTTCTAACAAAACAACATTTTGAGTACAATACATGGACAACTCCTCTCTCCTCCCATAATCTTATTCTCTTTCCAATCATCATGATTTTGATACACGATTAACAAAATTATCCAAGTAATTAAACTGTTTCTTAAATTGACATTTCATATTTTCATTGTGCTGAGGAGCCAGACAGATGCAAACCATTCTGGAAAAACCCTGCAGACAGGATTTGGAGTAAAATGGTTTATATTTGCAAGCACACCTCTTCCTGGCTCATCTGTGATGGCAATATTGTAGAAAACTATTGATCAGCCATCTTGTCTGGATTGAAAACTCCAGGGTAAAAAAAATGAGGAGTTCAAGGCTCCTGGTCTGGGAGAAAATTGCCTCCAGAAGAGATTTTTCTAGATGTCTCTGGAGTTAGTACTAGAGGCTGGAAATAAATCCACCCTCAGCTGTCCAGAGAGGACTATTACAGATAACTCACTTATCAACAGACAGTGGATTTTACAGAGGAAGCCACAGAACTGGTGTGAGCTGTCTCAGCCCAGCTATGGGGAGGTAACAAGGAGGAATCTGAGGCTGTGCCTGTTTTTGGTTGATAAGAATCTACATTAGTGATTATGCTTAAACATGCAGGAAAATCAAAGCTATTGTCTTAAGAAACCCTTCCCTGTAGCAGAAATTCAAACTTCAACAAGAAAGTAGAAGCTTTCAGTTCTGTTGTCAGTTGATTGATGAAAACCCGTACTCTACCTGGAAATCTGAAAAGCAAAAGAGAACTCTCATCAGCTTTAGAATGTGGAAGAACAGGAATCAGTCACCATCTATCAGATAATCCTTGTGTCTTCTGGTCTACCTGATCTTTTCAAAATCCCACCCCATTCTCTAAGGCCAGCAACCTTCCTACTTTTGAACTTCGTTTGTAAAGTGTCAAACACTCCAAACATTGCAGCCCTGTTCATTTCAAGCAGGCTTCTCATTCTGGAAAATCAAGTCACTTTGGAAATATTAACAGACACAAAGCCACAATCAAGTGAATAAATAGACAACTAAAATTCAAATGTGCATAGCAGGATTCACCTCACCTAACCTCCGCCATCAGGTAACTGTCTAGATTCCTCCATAGTCTATAAACAGACACAAGCACCAACAGAAGATGCCAGATTGTAGGGCATTTAAGATAGTTGGGATCAGTCTCACTTTGGAGATAACCAGCCAATCTCTCTCTCAGCTCAAACCATTTCTAAACAGTAACTCACAAAGGTTCATAAATTTCATAAATATTGTCCATTTTCATTAGGCAATGACTGATATCACATCTATCTCCAAGTCATCATGAAAATCATGAGCAACAATGGGGATTAGAAGGCATTATACTCCTTTCTTCACTGTGGCACATTCTTTCAGACTGTGCAGTGGGTGGTAATTTTCAGAGAAAGACAACACCACAAGAGGACTCAGTACATATTCCTGATAATAGGCATGTTTCCTGCTTTCCATTTGCACCAATGCTAAAGCGGTCCCTTGGCATAAACAAGGATTGGCTTCACATAGCAGATTTAGCAAAATAAACCCGAAATTTTAATGCATATTTGCAGAATTTGAGTTAATTGTTGAGTTTACCAGAGGAAGCTAAAACGTACTGAGGAAACACAAAGCAACCACATCTACAGCCTTAAAATAAGCGTCATGTATAAAGGCTCCTCAGCCTTACCTCTAACACCACCACTCACATCCCCATAACTGTTGTACTGACCAAAATCTGTAGACACCGGCTGTAAAAGGAAAAGAGGGACATGCACATAAATTCACAGTTCATGACTTCACAAGTGGGTTGGTATATGGGGAGTAACGAATTGCTTTAAGCCTTTTTTCCCCCTCTATTTTCACAAGCTTTCTTGCATTGCTTTCTTGCCTTTTAACAAGGTAGTTTATGGGAAGGGAAATTAGGTTTTGTCTTATTTCGTATGGTCTTATAAGAAAGCTTGACCAAACTGAAAATCCAATACAGTTAATACAGAAATAAATACCATGGATAATTACAACCATCTTTTGCTTCTCTAAATCGCCACTGCCTTACCCTGTGTAGTCCATTTTTTCCATAGCCAGGGAGAGAAGAGGTTTTGGAAGCTGAAGCATGTGCTGTTGAATGAGGAAGGGAAAAATCTTTTACTGGAAAAACGCCACGTAAACTCAAAAACAAGAACATTTGAGGAATCCACTAGCATAAAAAACACAGTTAGAAGTGCTAAGCTTACACATAACCACCTGAGATACAGAGTCTTTAAGAAACTAACATCTCAGCCCCAGACTCATCACGACCTTCCATACATTCTGTACGGTACACGCAGCTTTATCATGCCATGGTGGTAAGTCATCAAGAAGTGGTCTCCATTGAGCTGAAAGTAATGGTCAGGGATCAGACAGCAGAGCAAAATAACTTTTTAGCCCTTAGTTTCAGGGAGACCACTTGATATGTGTATACATGATGTTCATTATTCACTGTTCATTATTAGTTTTATTGCCTATGTGAATTACCTGGAGAATCGTAACGACTGGCAGAAAGGGCTGACCTATCACGACTCTCCTTTTCCATCTCTTCTTTCAATATCAATTGTCCCAGACCAGAGTTGAGCTATAAATGGCAATTAAAAAAAAAAAATCAATAAAATAAGCTGATTGAGGTATTATTGCTAGACACTAGTAGACATTACAGAAAACAAAGGGATACTTTTTGGATGGCTTTCAGAAACAGCATGAAGACAAGCTTATAACCACCTTTAAGAGCTGCTCCTCCTGCAGCTGCCGGCGTCTCTGTAGCTCTTCATCATCTTCCTCTCTTCCACTTGATCTGCGTCTCATGTCAGCTCCTGCTTCCATAAAACCACAGTACAGAGAAAGCTTTGTATATCAGTTCAACCGCAGCCTCAAGATTTCAATGCTAGTTCAAAGTACTGGGCAGTTTGATTTACTGAATAAACAAAGCAGCATTTTCTTGCAGACTCAAAAGACTTTTTCAAAACTCAGTCTCAATAAAACTCACTCAGATAGCCTGCTCTATGGCTATCAGGCTTCTTATAAAATTAACAAGAAGGTAAACTCCATATGAGTTCCAAACCAACCAACAGTCCTGGATACAAAAGCCATGAATCGAAGTAATAGAAAAAAGGAGCTCAGATTGCTAGATCTGGAAACATGGTGTTTAACAGCAGCAGAGACTGAACTGAGAGACAAAATTTCCATCAAAAGCTCCACCTCAGACATACAGCATAGTTATCACAAGCACCGTCAGGAGAGTTTCAGGTATTTAGATGTTATCACAGTGACGATAATGCTTGTCAGGTTGCAATCCTATATAAAGAACATTTTCAAAAATTTGCTCCTGCATATGCAGCCCCTTCAATTGGTCACTGAGCTCCCCCATCCTGTGCTTCCTCTCCCAGAATTTCTATCAAAATCCTATTGTGATGAAAACCCTACATTTCTTCACAGAAACCTGAAACAGGCAACACCTTCAGTGTTTCAGACATGATTTCTTAAATGAACCAGGCTAGATAGCTTATTTTAGCTATTTTTTATCCATAGGGGTCAATAAAAATTAACAGAGGAAAAAAAATACAAACCAAAAAAAACCTAAAATGATGATGCACATGATTTAAAGAAAAAAAAAATAAGATACCCGTAGTGATACAACACAGAAGAAAAATACAAAGTCTGTAGAAACATTAGCTCTGAAAATCAGGACTTTTTTAGTCTTTTAATTGTTCCACTTCAGTCATTGCTTCCTGTTAGTCATGTGGTTGGAAGCAATCATATTTTCTGTGGAATATTTGCTATTAGCTTAGGACTAAAAGATTAAATAGACAATAACTGAAAGAAGTCAGGCTTGTGTGATACACCACATTTTTTAAGCTACTGCATAGAAGCTCACATGATGACAGAGATATTAACCCACGGAAAAATTAATTCCAAAATCCTTTAGCAAAAGCTCTCCTACTCAGCAGTATTCAATAGTTTTAAATTCATGGACACCTGGAGGTGTCACCAGAAGAACTACACTTCGTGGTGAACACCTGCAGCGGACACATTATTCACTACTGACTTTTACAGCTCCAGTATTAATCAACTTTGCTTACCAGTACCTTTTAAGCCACATTGCTTGTTTTTTGTTTTTGGTTTTTTTTTGCATACCTATGGCTGCAAGGGAGGGAGGACCTGGCCAGTGGTCCGTCTCAATCTTTGGTATCTCGTTGGGTGCTGGTGCATGAGCTGCTGGGAACTTGGAGGACTTGATGATATCCTCGGAGGACTTGCTCTGTGCTGCCAAAGCAGCTGCATCTAGATGGCAATCAGGGTACTTAGCTGTGTAATAATCCATATCAATATAAAGGTCTTCCTTATTTTGTCAAAATTTTATACTTTGCACGAAGTTAATTTTCAAAAGCAAACATTTTCATGTTTTGCTTTTCTGAGTGCAATTTGAAGCAGAGTAATATCTTTCTCTTGCCAATAGATTGGAATCAAGCCTTCCTCCCCTTCCTCATTCCCACCCAGAAAACAATCCCAAATCAGCTTTGGATTTTACTAGGGTTGCACAGTGTTAGAATGATTAGGCAAGAGTAAGAAAATTCAATCTAACGTTATTTGTCAATATTTCATAAGGACAGCTGAATATTAACAAAGATGCAACCAGATTTATGTATGATCTGTCCTCCCTCTAGGGCAAGAAAACACATAGTTCAGAGGAACAGCATGAATTTTAACTCTACTGATGCTAATTATTTCTTATGTTTCTGGGAAAAGCTGTAAAACAAACAAAAAGAAATCTGAAATAAATGTTTATTTAACCAATGGATTTTTTCTGCTGCATGCCCTTGCTTATTAGCATGCAATAGTAATAAAAGCAGATGTGAATTTATTAATAAATACTAAACTTCATTCAGATCAAATTGTCAGAGAAAGGCACTTGAAATGACCCTCACCAATAAAACATCTCAGCAGTAGGGCAGCTACTTAAGATTCTAGTCTCTTAAAAGCATGTAAGGATATGCATTATGGCCTTCACTTCTTGATATTAAAAGAAAATTCCAACAGTATTCAGCTTACATTTAAACTAGCCTTAACTACCTCTTATCTGCAAACTGTTAGCTCAGATCACCTTCTCTTATATGAAGCTATCATACCAGAAATAAGAATTCTGGACTTTTTCTTAATTTTCTCTCTCTCTCTTTTTTTTTTTTTTTTTTTTTTTTTTTTTAACAGAAAGACATCTGTTAATGAAGTGAAGGACTGGGTTGCTCATCCAACACATTCAGCATAGTTTAAGAACATCAGTATAAGATACTGGGAATTCAGAGCATTTTATGGATTGGGAAACTCTAAGCATAATTGCAGGTATGGAGGAAGCTGGTCAGAGTTTACAAAAGCATGACTTCAAACAGTACTTACGTGTTAAAATTGGTGATGTCAGTGGTTAAACACTCATGTTAATGGAAGGTGAGGAGATATATTAAAACCATAAAAATAAACAAAAATAATGTTAAGACTTCTTCCAAAATGAGCAAATGGTTTGAAACTTAAAAAAGAAAGAGGAAAAAACCCTGAAGTAAAACCACCAGCAGTGTTACTTGCGATGCTCACTCCTGACTCCAGAATGGACTTCCCAGGCTTTCCTAATCATCTCAGCTCAGTGGCTCTCAGCAACCTGTTCATCTAAACCCTATGAGTATTGCTAATTTGCTATTTAACACTAAATACATTTCACTGGTTAAAGGGTCTGCAAAAGGAAGCAAACTCAAAGTCTTTAAAAAGCGGAGTTATCCGTCTTTCACCACATTACACAAAAATCATCTCCTATTCAAAGTTTTCTGTTCACAGTAGAAGGGAAGAGTGAACACACTCTTACAACTGGAACCATGCTCTGAGGCACTAAAGACCAGCAAGGCAGTGGGCTTCTGCCATCATTGGTATTTCAGACTTGCTATAACAACGTCTACACCAAAAAGATTAGAGCACTAACACTGCTGTCCAGCTCAGAATCCAAACACACGGAAAATGAAGTACAGCAAACTGCCTATAGCACAGGGCTTGAGAATAAAATTTGGCGACAGTGATAAGTCACCTATATTATCTTCAATTAGTAAAGATTCTTATTGAAAGTCACAGGTGCATTTGGAATTCCAGTCCGATAATAACATCTCAATTTTTGCTGTTGAATTAAATTATTGTACTTTGTCTTTTTAAAATAAGGATATTCCATGAAGTCTCTGTCAGAGAACAGTCTGTTGTTAATCCATTTTAACATGATCAGTACTTGTATTCTGAAAACATAAACTTAAAGAAGTGAAATATAGGAAGGCATCATAATGCTAAAGAGACAGCAAAATCCCAGTTTGTGGCAATTTTGCCATTAATATCAATGTAGCCAAGATTTAAAGCATATGATTCAAATGAAACAACATGCTTTAAAACATAATCACTCAGCAGGACATGCAGTAACAGCTGTTTCAAGCTTGTACTACTAATATTTAATGCTTACTACGCAAACGCTGAATGCTTTTCACTAGTTTGGATGCTTTATAATTCAGTTGACACTCCAGTTCTAAAATAAAAAGGGAAAGATCATTTACCATGTTGTTTGTAGATTGGCGGTTTTCTGTAAATGTTGACACCTTGATCTGTGAAATTGAGAAACAGAAAAATGGGAATATGAAAACTACTCCAGTTGTAGATAAAGGTAACTCCCACACTGTAACAATAAACAGACCAAATCAAGGACACAGCACAAGAAAAAGCCAGAAAGCTATTTCTAGTATTATACAAAATCAGATTATTTAAAGAAAACAAAACATAAGAACAAGTGAAAAGTCAAAGACACGTGTGGTATGAAGTCCTTTGAAGGTGATTCTGTAACGTGGATGCATCCAAGTCATGAAACATTCATTTTAAACATTCAGAAGATTATCAGCGGAATAAAAGTTAGAGAGGAAATGCAAACAAGCAAGACATTTCAGTGGTTAAGATGCAAGCCATTTGAGGAAAGTTACCCCAAATAACTTTGTGGAAATTTTGTGGAAAATTGCGCTTCAGTCATAACAGCTCAATTTTCTTTCCAACTGACTGGCTGGACTGAGCGGAGGAGAACGCAGTGAGCCTACAATTAACTTCAAAATCCAGAGAACAAAATAGCTGCCTCACACGCCACTTGGAACAGTCAACAACAGCTATGCTTCAGTGAGTCAAAGGGATGCTTTATGCAGTGTTAACTGATATACTAATTCTCAAACCACAAGGATAGATTTTATTTCTTTTTTCTAACTTTTTTTAATGCAAGGCCCACCACATTGCACATTATCAATGCAAATCAGAATACAAACACTTCCTGGAACTCTAATGCAGTGAATCTACAGCATGTCTAAAATATATCCTGTTTTTACAAATAATGATCTAAGACAGGAACCAGTTTGTTCTAAACTACCTCCCCACCCAAGGCAACACTTTACATATTTGGTACAGCTACACATACAGGAGTTAATCCAAAATCAGTGCAACAGTGCAAAACCTGTCAAAATCTTACCAGAAGAGCAAAATAAGCTACTGGGAGCTAGAAAATTTATGCATAAACCCATTTTGCTGCTTCATACTGCCTGAAAATTTTTCAGTTACCTTAGAATGAAAGATCAAAAAGCATTTTAGAAATACATGCTGGGTATGGCGATCCAGTTAAAGCAGACAACTTTGCCTTTGGCATTAAGGAAAGCTAACCCTAAAAATCTACTGAAACAGAGGCAAATCTTACTGTGCAGAACCCACATCCTTGACTAAACAGGCAAATTAATTGCACACAAGGGCACTGAGGTATTTCATTCTTGTTAGTGATCTGTTACGGCTACTTGACCAGTAAATAGGTATAAACATTACAAGGGCAGTCATGCAGTACTTTTGCGCACATCTATACCAGAAAGCTATAGGGAGGACAGGAACACAGCTCCTTCTGTGGCTGCCCTGTGCCAGCTGAAGATAGCTCTCCCACCACGCAAGGGATTATTACTCAGAGCTATTGATGCAAGTGTACTTCAGCTTACGCAAGTCAAAGTGAGCTGTGTTAGCTTAAGCGGTTTAAACAGCCTACCTTAGCCAAGCCAGGTCACACTGACTGAAAGGGAAGTTCCCACAGTTTATCTGCCAGATCTGAGGAACAGAGGAAGAGCAGTAACCTCTGGCAGGCAGACCTGAAGGATGACTGTATATGAGGCTTTCAGCTAGCACTGATGGGACATGCAACCCTAGGGACATGCATCCTCATCCCATCAAAATCCAAGACAAATGATCTTCTCAGAGGCTGGAAGAACTGTGCAGCTCACTTCAAAACAGAAACTGGCCTCTATAGAGAGGATATCCTAAGGCACACATATCCTTGTGGATCTGCAGGTCTCTCTAAGGACACCAAGCCACTGCATAAAACAAGAAACATCCTCACCTGCTTTAAAAAATGGGAATACGGAACTAGAACTGTTGGGTTCAAGACTGAAACAAGCCAAAAGAGTCTGAATGAACAACACACATAATAGACCCCTGGTCAGCTCTCTTCTGCATACTGCTGTGAATCACAACCAACTCCTCCAAAGTTAGCAGAGTTATGACAGCTGGTGCAACTGGGAGAAAAATCAAGCCCTACATAGCTCACAGGCCATCAACACTGAAAACCAAGGCATTCTAAACAGTGACACAGGTAAAACCCCCCCATTTCTTAATGCACTACACCTCTCAGCAAGCCAGGAGCAGGCAGTTCCAAACCCTGTGTGTGCACCCCATGGTAAACAGTGTGAAACAATGGAGACAAGACAAAAGTTACAAAGGCTACATTCTACACTGTGACAGGACACCGAGACACATACAGTGCCAGCTCCTACCTGGAACATGGAAATGTTTAGGGGCCTGAGCGTAAGTTGGAGTGAGAGGGCGGCTGTCGGGCCGATAAGGGACAGGGGAGTTCCGACCGCTGGACGGCTCATTGCCTCCAATGAAAGAATGGAGAAAACAAAATGAGAAGAGGGAGAGCGATTAAAAAAAAAAACAAAAAACAAAAAAACAAAACACAAAAAAACAAGCCCAATCAAACCCAAACAAAATCGGTGGAATCAAAACCTCCAGGGAGAAACACAGTTGAACCAAAAATATAATTACAAACAATAATGAGAACTGGTAGCCCTGGTGACTGTTTTTTTTCCTGATATTCCTGCAGAGACAAAAATTCATGTTCAAGCTGGAGTTGAGGTTTGAGCAGCTCAGACTCATTTTGATGGCATGCAGGCAGGAGTTGTGTGCTTGCAGCTGGTGATTAGATGGGCAGTGTGGAAAAGAAGAATGGAAGGTCACTTGGCAATGATTTAGTACAGAGATTGATATTTGGACTTAAAAGTTGCAGGCACAGAGCACAGTAGTTGATATGCAAGCCCAAAATGAAACCGACTCCCAAGCAGATAGAAGCAGATGCTGGCAGTTACTACAGTTCCCTAAACCAAAAGCATACAGAAGCTAGAGAAGAAAAATAGCTGTTACGTCACTTGACCCGTATCAAAAGACATAACTGTTCTATACACACTCTT